GCAATAGCCATTATAATTCAATATTATATCATCTTTGAGTGATTATCTAGTCTTTTCGAGTTATAAAAGACTATCTTGATCTTTTAGTTTTTTGAGATTTATATCTTTGATAAATATTTGTTCAAGTTTGAAAATCCCTAGTCATTAACTTTATAGACTTCTTCAACTACTATCTACACCAAAACAACTATGAACTTTTGTTTTTATGAATTTTATCATAGATCTTTCAATCTCAAGTTTTTATGATTCTATATTTATAATAATAGATTATATTAATAATCTAGTAAATTTAATATTAAATATAAAATCTATTACAAGTAAAACAAATAATTAAATTTATTTTGATTGTATTGATTATTATTATTATAAATTATTAAAAGATATTATTACAAATAAAAGAATTTAATTTTTATTTAATTTTGAAGAATTTATTTATTTTTAAAATTGAAAGTAGAAATAAAACTATCTTTGGCCTTCTATCTTCAAAGTAATGGACAAACAAAACAAATGAATTAAATATTGGAGTAATATTTGAGATGTATTATTAATTACATAAAGATGATTAGAGAACTTTATTATCATTAGTAAAGTTTGAATATTATTATAATAATATATTAAATTCTTTTATTCAATAATTATTATATTATATTAATTATAATTATCATTAATTTTTAACTTTATAGAAATTAATAATTTTATAACAAAAGATTGGCTAATTTTCTTATTGGAGCTTATTGAAATAATGAAGGTATAATTAAATGAAGTTTAAGAATAACAAAAGATGAATACACATATCTATCACAAGAAACAATCTCAGTTCTATATTAGCAACAAGACATGGTTACTTTATTGTAATATCAAGACTATTTGTAATTGTAACAAGATAGGTTATTGTAAATTTGGATTATTTTTTATTTATAAATAAATCAATTTAATTCTATACTAATTACACCTACCAAAATCTATAAAGATCTATCATATGTTTTATATATATATATATATATATATATATATATATATATATTTCTATATAAGTTAAAAGATGTATCAAAAAGAAGACATATGTCACTTCTTCCGATAGAAGTCAATAAAAATTAAGAATTTGGTATAGAAAAGATCTTGGACAAAGAGATTGAAAATCAACAACAAACAAATTCAACTCAATAAAAATTTTTTTATTAAATTATTAAATGAGATATTGAAATTGTCACAACCTTCAAGACAATATAATTAATATGAAGGCCTTTAAGTACAATATATCTTTTTTCAAATATATCATAAGATATAAAAAGTTTGGTATTACAAACTTAGAAGATATTCTTGATGTTTAGATGGTTTTTCTACTCTTGTATAAAATACTATTGATGATTGATAAGATTTAGTAATTACCTTCAAAAGAAACTAAAATTTGAGTATGTGGCAAATACAATTTGCTATATCTTAGACTTTATCAATATGTGATCACCACTTCTTATGGAGCTTGTTCCTTAGAGAGGGAATAATTTCATAAATATGTTACACATATAGGCCACCTGTTTTATAAGTTAGTTATATGGAGCATGTATTGGAAACTTATATTGTAAGTTAGATATATATTATGCAAGTTCAACATGTGTTAAATGACTTATAGAACATTAACATATAGCTCTGTAGGTAGATAGTATATATAGAAATAAGAGTAAGGCTTTCATCACTCTTATCAATTTCTTTCTTGCTTCTAATTTAATTTCAAGGATTCAAAGTTTTTTTTATCTTTGGCAATAGTCATTGTAATTTTTTTAAAAAATATACCTACTTTATCTTTCTTTTATGTAAGTTTTATAATTATTTTAATATACTTTTATTTTATAATTATTTATATTAAAATAATATATATATTTAATATTCATTGATTTAATAAATTTATCATATGAAATCACAAATTATTTTAACTTTAAAATTATGTATATTTTGAAATTATATTAATTTTATATTTCTATTAAATCTAAAAAGTATTAAATTTAAAATTTTATTTAAGTGTTAAAGAATATAACTAATTTTTTTTGTTAAATCTGAAACAAATGTCAACAACTTGAAAGTTGTTTTAGTATACCAACAATATTTAATGCACACATAATTATAAAATACCATATGTTAAATAATTCTATTAACTAAAGTTGGATCAAATTTTTATTTTTAAAATTTTTAAAATTTTAATTACCTTTTTAAAAAATAATGAGGCTTAGTCATCTTACTCTACACTTCTCTTTAGTAGAATTGTTGGTACTAGATGGATAAGACTTAAAACATCTTTTTTTTTTTTAAATTATAATTTGACCTTCTTAGATATTTTATATTAAAAATTGGTTGCTATTAAATTGACATCATCAATATCCAAAAGCCACCAACTTTGCTTATTGTAATAAAATATTTTTTGACCTTTATATATTTCAAAGGCCAATAATTCTACCTACTATTGTTACATTATATACTCAATCTTTACCTAAGTCTTTGACTACTAGCAACCTACAATAATAAAAACTTGTAAGTATTATCTTTGTAATAATAACTCTTCATTTTTAGATATCATAACAAAAAAATAATAAAAAAATACAATAGGACTATTATATGGATGTAAAATTATGCAGTGGTGACAACTGTTTATATATATATATATATATATATATATATATATATATATAACAATGTAGTATTTTAATTTTATATAACTTTACAATAATTTATATTTTTATATAATTTTTATTGATTTTTTCTTATTTAGGCTCTATTTTATAGCCTTACTTGATTATATTCTACTACATTATTTTGTCTTGCTTGAATTTTGCTTTATTGCAATATCTCACCTAAATTTTGGTTTTGAACCATTGCCTTGTTCATGTTCATTCTAACTCCACATCATGGCTTGCTTCGGCTTTATTTCTTTGTCTTTACTCACTTAACAATGTTATGTGAAATTAAATTTCTACATTAGAATTCTTCTTGCATGAAGATCCTCTAAGACAAAGACTTCTTTTCAATTTTGTTGGCTTCTTAAATTTGCCTGTATAGAAAGGTGCTCCATAAGGTATTTAGTATTTACTTCATGTATTGAAATTGTTGGATTTTTAATTTTCTATTGCTAGATAAATCTCTAACTTTACAATCAAATCCTTGTACATAAATCTTTAAGATGGAGTATGCTTCTTAGTTTATTTTCATAAAGACATGTTTTTCAATGTCTTATAATCATTTTAAGCATTATTCTTAAAATCTGTGAATAGTCAATGATCTTTTTATATTGAGTGTTGCTCAACATGTATGAACTTAAATATTTCAACAAATTATTGGAAGATCATGCATCTATCATTTTTATCAAGCATAATCAATTAGTATATTATTTCTTTGAAGATTCTTAATACTAACATCTTAATTCTTCTATGCTTTAGTGATTGTGTAATTCAATCTCTTCAGCTTCAAATTTATTGAGGTCTTTATTGCAAATCAAACCATTGTAAAGAAAAGATTAACACAAGCATGTTCTCTAATTGAAAACTGCAATTGTAATTGCAGATTTATAATTAATTTGAGTATAAGTCTTCCAATTGCAAATGATAGTGTCATGTTGGTAATAAATTTGAGTATAAGTCTTCTATTTGCAAATTGTAATGATTGCAAACTGATAATTGATTTATTTATAAGTCCTCAAATTGTAAATAGGAGTTGCAATCATAAATTGGTAATGAATTTACAAGTCTTAGCAATTGATGCAACAACAATAAAAGCAATTAATTTACAAGTCCTTTTGACAATGTGCAACAACTATAATAGCTTTTATAACAATCTTCTAAGTTTTTAAAAAGTAAAAGGTATTTAAAATAAAATAAAAATATCATCTTTAATATTTATATATACATCACATTTTCTTATTTGATAAACTTTTTTAAAAAATTAATAAATAATATCTTTAATTTTTTAAATATAGTATTATAGATATTTATTCTTAAAATATTATAAACATGTGTTTTTTTATTACTTAAGTCTATATTTGAAAAATAATTCTGATATGTTTAAAAATAATTATTTTAAATGTTAGTTACAATCTTTTTAAATTTTAAACTCAAAATTTTATCAAACATACACATATCAGAAAAAAAAAAAAAACAATAAACATTTCTTTGTCTACAGATTTATAATCCTTTCTTATTTACATTTATTAAAATAAATAATAAAACACATGTTTATATAAGCATGAAATAGAAAAAATTTCAAAATATCAATTCAATATATTTGAAGTAAACAATTCTCTTTCTTGTAGTAAAATAAATGGATTCTAAAATGCAATATAATCTATTATTCTTTTGTAAATTTGGATGCAAATAAGAATATGCCATCTCTATTTATTGTTGCTATTTATTGTTAATGTTATCATTTTAAAAATCATTCCATAAGCCTTACAAGACCAAATTCAAAAGCTAAGTAATAGCGACACAACACCCTAATGAAGTGAAAGGATTCAGAGATTTTGGTGCCCATACCAAATGCGGAGGAATGCATCAACGAGGAACCTAAAATTAGGGTTTTCTTTCTCACAGGCAGCAGATCACCGTCATTGCAGGAAGGGTCTCATGATTTGCATTGCCCTTTAACAGCTACCAGATCCAAGCAAACATGTGCAGCTGAAGACTACACAACCCACAAATCATAATTCGAAAAACCACCGTGAAAAGCTTGAGGGAGAGGATGGCTATGGCTGTGCAAGGAACAACATGCTTGACCCCCTGGAACTTCTTTGCAAACCTGCCCATTGCGTAAGCTGAACGAGATCCATCAATCGCAAAGATAACCCTCACAGCGACGAATGAAGAATTTGCAAGGTGAGTCTCCGTCGCATGGACTTCGGCAATACGGTTCTGATTGGTTGAACAGACCGCTGTGCGCGGGTTGTCACATTTGAAAGAATCTTATTAGCACGATTTTTGAAAAGGAAATGGGTTCAAGTGGGTGTTCCCACTGGCTATCTCAGTCATTTGTCACTAGTGTCTGGAATGGGTCACTGACTAATGATCAGCTTAATTCGGAACCCATTTACCAAATTTTTTACAGTGATTTCTTTAGGGTTCAAGAAGCTTTGTCTTCTTTCTTACCCCTTTTTCGTGATTACTGACGTTTGTGGAGTAAACTCCCCCTGTTTGCTAGGGTTTTCGATGTCCCACCGCTGGTTCGTGGAAGATATCAACTATAGATGGACGTATAAGTTTCCTTCGAGGGAACAATTACAGTTTCCGATTGGTAGTCTTGAAGGATTTTTCGCTCTACATTAATGCTTACTAGGGTTTTGCTGGCTTTCATGATGTTCTGTACGTGTTAATTCGAAAGTTTAGGGGTAGAACTTTCAGAAGGTAAGTTTGATTCGTGAGCTTTTTGAGTGAGTTGGGGTTTAGTAATGAAGCATTGGGCTTCGAAGAGTTGGTGAGGATAATCTTAAAACCTGGAGCATTATTTGGAGCTCTTGAGCAGAGTGTGGTGTTGACGTTTTTTATGCACTTGTTCTCGAGCTGCGGTAAACGTTCTTGCTTTGACTGGGATTGCTGGGTGTCTATCTCTCGTAGTGGACTAGAGCGAAATTATGCGTGGATGTCGCCTAATTTTGTTTGGATTCTATTAGAGAAACAGAGAGCTGCCCCCACTCAATTACGATTTACGATTCTGTTTTTTTCACGTGTGATTGTCAAGTGAAGAAATTGGGACAAGCAATTGTTCATTTTATATACCTGTAGTGCTGAATCACTCAATCCCTTCGATTTTTTTTCATGTCATCAATTCCCGAATCGTGATCGCCAGGCTTTATTCTGATCTTCAGGTGAACACTGCGGCTTTGGTGTGAAAGGGCTGGATGTGATCAACGTCAAAATAGTTTCCCCTTCTCTATGTTGTGCATGAGAAGGAATCAAGTTGGAGGTCATGGCAGCTCCGGGAGGCGAAGATGTAGAAATGGCAGATGCTGCGGAGGGCTCCGGACCATCTGTTTTTGCGTTATTGAATCCCAAGCGTGAACCTGCCGCCGCTGCACCCAGCAAAGGGAAGTTCGTACCAAAAGTGAAAGCCCGACCAGGGGCACGCGTTCGAACGCGGCCTTCTGCACAGACAGAACCCAAGGTTGAGACAGCTCCAGTCCCCGTCAATGGCGAATCGGCTATTCCCATGGTCGTTGGCGACAATGCTAAAACCTCGTCGTCGATGGATACGAAAGGAGCAGGAGAAATTCCTTTGTTGACTGTGAAGGCTGAGCCCGATGTCGTCAAATCAGAACCTACGGACGGTGTTCCTCTTCTAAATGCTAAAGAAGAGCCCTGTGATGAAGCTGACCTCAAATTGAAGCTGGAGTCGGACATGAGTAAACAATCGATCAAAGAAGAAGTAAAAGAAGAGCCACCAAGTGTGAAAGAGGTCGATGATGAACTGAAAGATGAGCCTATGGTTGTGGATTCAGTAGTGTCTAAACCTGGAGTTGATCGGGTTGTCAGAGAAATTGACGTGTTTTTAACACCGCGTGTCGACCCTGAGACAAACGTAAGTGCAATCAGGTGGCAAATGAATTAATCAATAAATTTTTGTGTGTGAGTATCCTTCACGAGCTGTGCGTGGTGGTTCTTGAGAATGAACCTAATCTTCTCGCATGAACTCGAAAGTTTTGTTTCTTATGTCCGTTGAAAATGGTTGCAGTTATACGTTCTACAATATCCGTTGCGACCGTACTGGAGACCATATAATCTGGAGGAGCGCTGTCTAGAGGTTCGCAGTTCCAACTTCTTGTATCAGAGAGTGAAGTATTGGGGTCATTGATAGTGTTGAGAGAGAGAGACAGAGATTATTTTCTTGGCTCTCGCTCTAAATTTTTTATTGGTTCGACATCAGGGATATTATGGCCAAATTTTCTTGGTTACAAGTGATACTCTCAATATTGGCTTGGTGAACTTTTGTGATCATTCTTGGGGATGAGTGTTGTGCTCTATTTTAGCATCCTCTGTTGTGTTACGCTATTTCATTAGGGTTGGAAATTGGTTGGATGTTTCTCTTTTTACAGGTGCGTATTAAACCGCAGCAGACAAAGTTTGAAGTGGATCTTGATATTGATACCACCAGTGAAAACTATGACCAAGATCGGGAACAGCATCTTCAGATTGAGAAGCAGGTTAGTTATCTTCTGTATCGAGCACATATAAATGTCATGGTATCCCTGGAAATACTCTGTCGTAAGACAAGATTTGTTGCGGTGTAGCATCGATCAACATGGGATTTTTTTAGTTTCAAACTCCTACAGGTTTGGCAGAAATCTGCTACTAAATCTTGTAACGGTGTGAGCTCTTTACAGTTTGTATATCAACAGCATTTTGAATGTTTCGTTGGTTTTCTTAGTTCATCTTGAAAGTCGGTACTAGCATCGTGCCATCCCGATTATGATTTGGTCCTCTCTTGAAAGTGGTCTTTCTTTTATTTATGAAGTGGCATTTTTCTTATAAAGAATGTTGTATGATCTGGATGGTGACAGACACTCGCTTCGTCAAAAGTTGCAATGACCACTAGCTATGCCATTGGAATATTGCGGGGAAATCGGGTTCGTGTATTAGTCTACCCATGGTGCAAGCATTTTCAATTAATTTTTTCAAGGGATCTATGACTTTGAGCGGGTTTTCTTGCTTTGGTTTTCATGTGCGTTTATCTGACATCATTTATCATTACTGTAGAGAAGTTGAATAAGTTGGTCAACACAAGGTTGACAGTAGTCTTTTGTTATGTTAAGGTTTAGACCCCGCAATTTTATTTTTATACAGCTAAACTTTCATTTTTGACATGTTGAACAGTTACACCTAAACCCAGTGCAAGCTGTGGTACAATTTCGACCCTCAATGAAATACATAGATGAATATGATGCAGCGAAAAAGAAAAGTAACAAAGAGGCTGGGATCGCCGATGGAGATGAGGAGGAGTTGTTTGATGCTGAACCACCTGAATCCAAAACAGAGTTAACCCTGCTTCAGGTAGTTTTCCTCTGTTCACTATGTCAAAGTTTCGTCTTCTGAATTTCTCTTTCCATCCTGAAATTTCTCTGGAAACTTTTGAGACTGTAGTTTTCACTTGTAGTTATCACTTTTCCTGTCTAGCAGTCAGGAATCATCTAGCTGTTTGAAACGTTATTTTCATTTTGTTCAATTGGATGAATGTTAGTCTTGAGACTGCTTCACGTCCTTGTTGATGTTTTTTGCAGTAGTTGCAATAATGAGCAAGCTTCAGTGTGATTTGTCTGTGACTTTGTCAATCAGGTGAATGTTAGGAGGCGAGAAACTGAGCGTCAAGAAGCAACTCGGCTGCAGTCTCATGCCTATTTGAAGCAATTGGATGAAGCAGAGGTGAATTAAGCTTCAGAAGTAATAGCCAGTGGATGTCAGTATTATTTATGGTCATTTGCTTTTTATTCCTTTGTTAATTAGGCTGTCAGTTTGCCTCTGTTTTTGACTTATCCTGTCCACCATCTGTGAGTTGTAAGTAAATGTTATCATACATGTGTCTGATAGCTATCAAAAGGTGTGGTCTTATGTTTGGGATTATTTTACTAACATTATACCACTTGTTGTTTTATTTAATTTTGAAGGCATGGATTCCACTTGAACCTCATGGGACAGATAGTCCGATTACAGAAGGCATCCGGCAGAAGATGGTTACCTCAACGCAAGATCGTATCAACTTTAACTTGAGCCCGTGAGTTCAGTTTTCTTTGTGAAAGGATATTTTGTTTTGGAAGCAATTTTATTTGATTTGTCTCTTCTCCCTTTCTCTTGATGTGTTAATTGTATTCTTATTTTCGTAAGTTCAGCGCCGTAATGGTGGTTATTGACCTGCAGTGATGCTTATCTGAACACCTTGGTTCCAGGACGGGCAAGCACGAGCACTGCTGGGTCCCTTATAGAGGACGGGTCTGGCAATGTTGGTATTTCTAGAAGGTAAACAGATTCACTGAATCGCTCCAGAGTGAGGATCGTGCTACCTTTCGGATAAGATAATCTGAAGGCCATCTTATTTAGCTTGACAACACTGCTGCATGATCACACTAGCATACTATAGAACGTTTTAAGTAAAAATTGTACCGAATTCTTATACTTCAAGGAAATACTCCCGTTGTGACCAAAAAAGCTTCTGTTTGTAGATTACTTAGTCCCAATTAGATCGAATCATCTTTTTAGTCAATACTATGATTCTGATTTGCTTCGCAGTCTTCGCGTCTTCTGGTTCTTCTACGTCCTAACATTTATTTGTCTTGTACTTAATTTGCAGCCATTTGGAGACGCTTGTTTTGCCCGAAGTCAGATTTGAGTATCTACTTAGAGTGGTAAGCGGCACCGAACTTCGCCGAAAAGAATGTTTGCTGAATGAAAGTGATGTTTCTAGTGTACGACACACATAATTCGCAAATCGGTAAACTAGTACGAATTAGTACGTTCTGACTTCTATATACGTCTAGATTACAGTATCGACCACACTAATATTATTACATTATTACTTGAACAAATGGAACAAGAAAAATTAAAGTCCTCATGCATCAAATCTGGATCATTGTCTTGAGTCTGGATTGTAAGATAGATAGCTATTTATCATCATTGGGAAATCCATTCGTGCAGCAACATTTGTCAAGCATTTAGACGATCATTAACTTTGAACGATTATTTCTTTTTTCAACTTTGTTTGCCACGTACGATGTCATTGCTTCTCCTACTCATGCTTCAAAAATTTTCTGCAGGTCTAAAACTTCTGCATGATTTATAAATGGTTATTTTAAACTATCGTTTTGATTAATTCAGTTGTTTCAACACTTTCCAAAATACTAAGCTGATTTGAGCCATTTTGTAACAGAGCCGTGTCCAAGTGTTGCAATTTGAGAGGTTGATGAAGATGGCACCAGCAGGCTGTAGTGATGAAGAATTGCTGAACGTTCTTAGTAACTTCGCTGTTCTAGTCCAGGGTTGTTGGGTTGCCGCTAGCCATATTCGTCCTGAGTACCGTGGTGGATTAAGAGCAATGAGGGATTACATTCTTTTCCTCTTTAGTAAAAACCGAGTAGTGAAGCATGAACAGCTTCGGGGACTTCCTTTGACCAAGGGAGCTTTACGAGAAATCATGGTGCCAATAGCAGTGCAGCGAGCTGGCGTTGGGTGGGAATTTCAGGTCAGAAATCAAATAAAGTTTATTTTTTATTATTATTGTTTTTCTCAGTAGAGTAGATATGTGCCGTAAGGAATCAGAACTTGAAATTCAGAATCAATGGGGATGGTGCTTTTGTGCTTCTATTTGCGTCAAAGAGGTAGTAGTATTTTGAAGCACTTCACAGATTTAACACATTAATTTGTTTGAGACTTGTTCTCTTTCTTTCTTCCAAATCTGTTCCATTGAAATTAAGACGCCCTTTAGAGGGATAAAACTGCAATGCATTGACTTTGCGTTCTATCTTTTTCCAACATGGCTCTGGTCTCGGTTTTACGATTTATCTGGGCTCGTTTTGTGGAATAAGTAGATGGTATCTTGTTCTGAATAAAGTGCTGTCTGTACAGGAAGACACTGACAAGTCATTCATCAAAAAACATCAGTCGGTGGTCAAGGAACAGACTGCCCAGTGGGTAAACTCAGAACCAGGTATTGTGGGAGCTTTGGTAGAAATGAACCCGTCATTCCCAGAAGTACATGGATTTGAGCCCTCGGAAACCTTTGAAGGTAACAAGAAACTTAACACCAAAAGTGGTAAACAAGGTAATTCTTCACTAGTTTCGCATTCGCCTAAACCACCTTCCGGAAAAATTCAAGGAAACAAAGCAGGACCATTGGGTGAAGCAGGACCATCGGGTGATGGACACGATAAAAGCAATGTTGAGAATGGTGCACAGGGAACCATGTCAGATGAAACCCGAATGGCATTGCCAGGTGCTTTGAAGGAGATTTTTGCCAAGCACCATGTTTGCACGTAAGACACTACAACCAGAACAAATTTGCTGGCAGTTTCACCATTGCACTCCTCTCATATGAATTTATGTTTAAATATGTCGTACATAGAGGGAGTCGTTTGTACGTTTTGGTCGTCATTGATATTGGCCAGACAGCTATGTCTATGGTGTTTCATTTCTTTTATCACAATTAGCACTGATTACAGAAGAAGGTTGCCTTGGTTATCTAAAATGATACGTCAGCATTTGATTTCATATCTTTAGAATAGTCACAGGCATGCTGATGCTTTTTCCAGTGCTAAATACGCTTGGGTGAATTGTTGATTTCCCTCGCTTGGTTAGGAGAATGTGTTAGATATGCTATTTGTAGTAGTTTATGCTTTTATTGATTGTCCATAGTTTGTGCTTATTACCGGTGTTGTATGTGCAACAGGATGCAGATCATTGTTCAGAGTCTACGGGACATGGCGATTGAGCGTACTGTTGCTAATTCTAACCCTAAGTCAGCAGCAGCAGCAGTAGCAGCTGCCAAAGCTGCTAATGCCCCTGCCTCGGAGCTTACAGCTGCAGTGTGTAGAGTGGCAACTAATATTGGTGGTGTTTACTTTTTGACTACATTGAACAACCCAGCACTTGATCCATTTAGGTGTGATGACCAGTGTATTTATTATTTATCATACCAATGGGGATTGTCTTTCATAATGTGCCTTGTGCAGTTCGCAACTTTGAGAATTGCTGTTCTCGTACAATACGGTGAAAGTATCTGAGGGTTTGTTTAAGTGGTGATTGTTTGCCTCGTTGCTTTTCACTAGTTTCGTATCTCTCTGATTCCGGCTTTTGGCCTTTTGCAGAGAGGTGGTGATTGCACTGTTGAGAAAGATGGGGCCAGATGCTGGGCTCCGAAAAAATGACATTTTGCTAGCATTTAAATCTGCGGGGAGAGAGGCTCCATCAGCTACGTATCTCAAGGTTGAGACCTTGAGCACATGAAGACATCCTTCATGATTTATACATGCTCTTTTTCTTGGTTAATTCGTTCTTCAACATCGAGTTATTCTGCACCAATGCTTTACTGATAGCCATCTTCATTTTTTATTTTGCAGGTTATGAAAGAACTTTGTTACACAAGGGGTGCAGCTTGGTACCTTAAGCCAGGAGATGGTCGTCCTGCATAGTTGGATAATGGTTCTTATTTTTGACCGATTCTTCTAGAGTTGCTGTCGTTCTTTTCAATTTGGGAGAACCAACCCATGTAAGTTAAAGATGACCATACGATCGTCTTTGATCGCATGCTTCAAATTGCACCAAATATATATACATATATATATATTACTGCTGTGATGATGTCACTGGTGATATGCCGTCAAATATGCGGGCAATAACCCAATCATTGTCCTCACAGTTTGTTGTACTAGAAGATCAAGTGTTAAAACTGTTAAAACATATAAAGTTTCAGAGAAGTGCCCACCAGTACATAATCCTGCTCTAGTTCCAACTGCTGATGAAGGCTTTGCTTGGAGTAACTGAATCTTCACTGCAGGTTCTGCATGTCAACTTGGAAACCTTGAATTCTTCACCGACTCAGACAACATAGAGGAGATTCACATGTGCTTCACATCTTTGATTCGCACTACTGAATACTTTTAAAATGGTACTGAAGACGCACAACTTTTATATTATATTTGCTAAACTTTTCTAAAACAATTCGACAATGAATTTGATACGTTTACTGGTTTCAAGTTCATCTGTGATCAAGTCCCATAGAACCTTGGATTTATTAATATTTAAAAATAAAAGTCCACTAATCCTTGTTTTCCTAAGATATTGCTTGTTAATTTTCGTTTTGATACAGACTTAATATTTTATTATTTTGGATGGTAGGAGTTTTTTTGCTTCAAAAATATCTTTCTATTCTTCTGATTCACAACTTTTCAAAATCAGTTTCTGACAGTTGAAAAAAGCATTGACGTTTTTATTATTACATCGAAGAAGAACATAAAATCTATTTATTATTTGAATATGGTTTAGGGTATATTCAAGCTTGCAATTCTATTCAAGGGTATATTTGTTATTATCAAAACTTTTTTCGGGGTATATTTGCTATTATCAAGAATGTAGTGGTATTCTTGATATTTCAACATATTTCAGGGGTATGTATGATATTTTCCCTTCATTTAACACACCCCTTCAATTAAATTACTTGATTGCTTGCAATTCTATTGTTTGCAATCAATTTTTTTTTGAAAATATCATACCCTTGAATAGAATTGCTTGCTGCCGGTGAGGGTATACACATCAATCCAGCGGCGACCCCGAGGAGGTTAAGCGAGCTGGAAACGAGCCATCAATCCACGCAGCGGCAACTTTCTCCACCACACTCTCCCCACTAACCCAATGCGTCGACTTTACCAAGAGTGCACACACGCACCACCAGTGACTGCACGCGCATGCATCACCAGACTCCGCAAACCACATCAAGGGCGCTGCGGGGACGGATGACAACGATGGATGACGAGGGGGCTGCGGGCAAGAGGGCCGCAGGTGCCCGAGAGTGCAGAACAAACCAAATATTATGTATTTTAAATATATATCCTTTAACATAAACTTTAAAAGATTGTACAAATTTTTTCTATTTAATATAATTTTTTATGGATGATTAGAAAAATAATACCAACATATTACAAAAATAATTACTTTCTAATTGAGTTGTAAACTTACAAAATTATCAAAAGATATGATAAAAAAAAAAAAAATTAGATGGCCTTAAAATTAAATTGAATTTGGGATGAGGTAGTGGAATATCACTATTTTGTTAACATAACATCACTTCCCAATATTGACAATCTTTACATATAAAATTGTATATGTATATATCTATCTATCTATCTATCTATCTATCTATATATATATATATATATATATATATATTTTGTCAAATACAACTCCCACCAACTAAATCTATTATTCATACCTATACTATTCCTAGTACCAATTGTCATTGCTAGTACCATTTGCTTGCACTAGATTTTGCACATCAATATCATTTGTTTGTGTTGGATATTATATACTAATACTATCCATTGCTTACAATCTCTACAATTTTTGTATTTTGAATTGTTGTTCTTTTCTAGCCATTTTTTCTAGAAGGTATTCTATGACTAAGAATCTATATTGGATCAAAGATTTTGCACACTTGAAATAAAATTGTAATTTTCTATTTTCTATTTTTTTTATTATCTTTATTTTCTAGGTTGGAGATATTGAGAATGGATTTTTGTTTTTTATTATCAATTTATTTAAAGGGTGTTAAATAGAGACTCTACATTCTTGCAATATGATATTATTAGAACCTTTACTTCTTCTCTCTTATAGGATCTTTGAAATAACTCAAAAGTTATTGGAAGACTTTGCAAAAATATACAAGTATATGATTTGAAAGAGAAGACTTGTAAAGAAGAAAAATCATCTAGATAAAGAACTAAAAAAAATAGACTTTATTTATATGCATAATAGGAAGTCTATAAGGAAGAAAAAATTGTTGAAGAATAATATCAACTTAAGAATGGATTGTTTCTTTTAAGTCATCCTTTGAAAAAATAAAAATAAACAAATCATAGTTACGATGTCAACATTGTGAATGCTTTTCATTTCCACAATTTGGGTAAGAAAATTGTTGTCTATATTGTGGCAAAGATAAATACCAAACTTCTTTTCTACATTGGATGAGATTTTCTTCCACTAACCAATTTTTTAAAATTATTTTATTGCTTTATGAATAGTAAAGAAGAATTATATTATAAATGGGCCTTTGATCAAATAAGAAAATATTTTAAAGACTACCTTCCTTAAGACTATTTGATTTTTTTTACAAATCAAGAATTAGCCTTTTTGATTGCTATTCTAAGTATATTTTTAAATACCAAAGTGTTACTTTGCATTTGATATGTATGGAAGAACATCCTTACAAATGCTAAATCCATCACACTAAATGGTTGATTTGATATGTTCATAAGCTTGTAGCAAGTTTTGTATTGTGGCGAGACAAAGAAAATATATATGATTATTCAAATAAATATTAAAATATTTCTGGTGCTAATTGTATAAGAATATTTAGAAAACATATGGTCAATTCATAAGAATTTTTTTGTAGAGGCTAAGATTAAGAATATTCTTTATTTGGGCCATATCACAATATCTTACATTAATGGAAGACATATAACAATAAAAATGCAAATAAAAGTCGTAATAAGAGATTTTCTTGTTGTATATAGGAAATTAGATCTTGCAAACTCTTAATATAAATGTGCCATCATCCAAGAAGTTTTGAAACAAAAATTACACATTTAATAGAAAAATAAAAAAAACTTTGAAATGAGGTATTATTAAAAAATTTCTATTTTATATTGAATCAAATATGGTCACAGTTCTTTTTTATTATTTATTTTCAATTAGATTTCATAATTTTAATTACCAAAATATTCCAACAAACACTCAAGCAATATCATAAATTCCAATCTTTTGACAATATAGATTATTGTACAAATATATTGTTGTCAAGGACATGAATCTCAAAGAAAGAAATCTTCAATACACTCTTATGTCATTGAAAAGAAATAGAATGTCACTCAAAGATGATATAATATTGAATTAGAATGGCTATTGTCAAAAATAAATAGACTAAAAAGTCTTAAAACAAGACTAAGGACTAGAAAGACATTGACAAGAGTAAAGAAGGCTTCACTCTTGCCTCCATATATACTCTTAACTAGCAACTATGTGGCGATGTCTTATAAGATCTCCAAAACGTATTGACTTTGAAAGACATGTATTTTAACTTCTAAGAATTTTTTTTTATATGTGTGCGACGTAATTAGCTTATTCTATAAGCTATCAACACGTGATTAACTTGTTGACTATGTTTCTAACCTATCGATCAATTACAAACACATGTAAAGTCAAAGCAGTGTCTATAAAGCTTTTACAAAACTTTTCTACAAGGTATTATGAAATTAATCATATATTCTTTTATTTACTTTTATCTACTTCTACATAATCATATAAGTATTTATTAGAGTACATATGTATATCCATGATATTACTCTTTTTTTTAGGAATGAGTTCTACAAGGAATGATCATCATATGTTGATAAAATCTAAGATGTGGCAAATTATATTTGCCACACATTGTGATCTTTGTTTTCTTTGAAGATGATTGATAGGTCCTCTCAGCTATTCATAGTATCCCATATCAAGGCAAAAAGACCACCCTATTATTTGATTGTTGTTGAGGCTTTCATAACTTCTTTCAAATAAAATATTTGAAACATCGTTAGAAGTTGTTCCTATTTCTAATAAAATCACCGAACATCATAAGTTTCTTTCAAGGTGATGATATCAAACACATTGTATTTCACCATCTATTTGAGGAAAGATATGTTATTCTTGAGAATCTTTATCTAAATTACATCATCTTGAATATTGAAATAATTGCAATGTCTTGTCTAATGAGTCAGCAAGTGAAAGCTTTAGAGCTGAATCTACTAATTGTTGGTTCTCTATCTCCTTATTATCACAAATATAGAGAAGTTATAAAGCTTAGTTGTTTCTTCACTTGTGATAGATTTTGTATATGGTACAAAATATGCCATCTTGGTAAAATGATCTATTATCTAGAATTTAGAATAATAGAAACTTGAGATTAGAAGATCCATAATAAAATCTATAGAAATATAAGACCATTGTTGTTTTAAAATAGGTAATGGCTGAAAAAATCTATAAGACCAATAGCGAGGAGTTTTAGATCTTGAACAAATATCACATGATTGTACAAAGTCTTTGACTACTTTTTACATTTGAAGCCACTAAAAATATCTCGATATTAGCTCCTAAATCTTATTATATCCAAAATGTTTGACTATTGAAAAGTCATGATAAATTTTAAGAATACATAATCATGCCTCAACTTCTAGAATGTGTAATCATTTCTTGAAATAAAATAAGTTGTTCTTGAATTTGAACTTAAAAGTATCACAAGACTTAGAAGAATTATTCTTGATATCATGAATAAAAAGATCAAAAGATATACTTGATTGAATTTTCTTGACAAAGGTTGAATCAACAGTCAATATTAATTTCATTGCTCAAATGTGAAAATGCTCCGGCTTCAAAAAAATTGTTCTTTGTTGATTAAAAGATGCATCTCTTTCTTTTGGTGCAAGATAAGAATGTTTAGAAAGGGCGCATAATAAATCTTATTATTTTTTAGATTAATAAGTGATCTTGAAATTAAATCTTGATAAAGACATGCTCCAATAAGTTTGGTGACAATTCAAAATATGTTTTGACATGAAATACTCAAGATTCTTGTATTCAATCTACACTATAATTAGATTCAAGGCATCTTCTAAATAATGACACCATTCTTAAAATGAATCCACAATTATAAAGAACTCTTTATTATAGATCTTATAATTAATCTCGGTTCCTAAAAAAATTTTAGAATGAAAAGCTACTAAATAGAATTTGTCATCTACTCCTATTTGTCATAATATTACATCTAAGGAAAATTTTATTACATTTGTTCCTATAAAAAATACCTTAAAAAAGTCAATATAATATAAAATAGGTACAAAAATAAAATCAATTTTTAAAGCATCTAATGATGCTTTGACTTTTTTACTCTACTCAAGTTTGTCTTTACAAGTTTAATGTATAATTAGAGCATCAACTTGAAAAAAAATCTTAATAAAGATCAGATAGTAATTAGCAAAGTCTAAAAAGTATTGCACATCTCTTATTATTTTTAAAATCTTTCAATCCATA